TCATCGCGGTGCGAACCAACCTGGAGGGAAAACGGGGGGGGAAATGTTGAGGAAAAATTGGGAAATGCTAAAATTTGGGATGTGGGAAATGGGGGAATCCCAAAAATGGGAAATCCCAAAAATTGGAAATCCCAAAAATCTGGGATAACAAAAATGGGGGAATCCAAAAATGGGAAATCCGAAAAATTTGGGACAATCCTAAATGGGGGAATCCCAAAAATGGGAAATTCCAAAATGGGGGAATCCAAAAGTGGGGGAATCCCAAAAATGGGAAATTCCAAAATGGGAAATCCCAAAAATGGGAAATCCCAAAAATGGGGGATATCAAAAATGGGGGAATCCAAAAATGGGAGATCCCAAAAATGGGGGAATTCTAAAATGGGAAAATCCCAAAAATGGGGGAATTCCAAAAATGGGGGAATTCCAAAAATGGGAAATCCCAAAAATTTGGGATATCAAAAATGGGAGAATCCCAAAAATGGGAAATTCCAAAATGGGGGAATCCAAAAGTGGGGGAATCCCAAAATGGGAAAATCCCAAAAATGGGAAATCCCAAAAATTTGGGACAATCCTAAATGGGGGGATCCTAAAAATGGGAAATCCCAAAATGGGGGAATTCTAAAATGGGAAAATCCCAAAATGGGAAATTCCAAAATGGGAAATCCCAAAATGGGGGAAATTCCAAAAATGGGAAATCCCAAAAATGGGAAACCCCAAAAATCTGGGACAATCCTAAATTGGGGAATCCCAAAAATGGAAAATTCCAAAATGGGAAATCCCAAAAATTTGGGACAATCCTAAATGGGGGGATCCTAAAAATGGGAAATCCCAAAATGGGAAATCCCAAAATTGTGGGGAATCCCAAAAATGGGAAATCCCAAAAATCTGGGATATCAAAAATGGGGGAATCCAAAAATGGGAGATCCCAAAAATCTGGGATATCAAAAATGGGAGAATCCCAAAAATGGGAAATCCCAAAAATGGGAAATTCCAAAAATGGGAAATTCCAAAAATGGGGGAATCCAAAAAATGGGAAATCCCAAAAATTTGGGATATCAAAAATGGGAGAATCCCAAAAATGGGAAATCCCAAAAATCTGGGATTAATATTCACAATCCCACAATGCCCTTCACCGTGAGCACGGCGGCCATTACTATTCACACTCCCATCATGCCCCTCACCATGAGCGCTACCGATTGGCCACCAGCTCATTAACATTCGCAATCCCACAATGCCCCTCGCTATGAGCGCGGCGGCCATTACTATTGACAATCCCATCATGCCCCTCACCATCAACACTACCGATTGGCTGCCAACTCATCAATATTCACAATCCCACAATGCCTCTCGCCATGAGCATGGCGGCCATTACTGTTCACAATCCCAGCATGCCCCTCCCCATCAATGCTACCGATTGGCCACCAGCTCATTAACATTCGCAATCCCACAATGCCCCTCACCAAGAGCACGGCGGCCATTACTATTCGCAATCCCACAATCCCCAGCAATCCCAGAATGCCGATTGGCCGCCAACTCATTAATATTCACAATCCCACAATGCCCTTCACCATGAGCATGGCGGCCATTACTATTCACACTCCCATCATGCCCCTCACCATGAGAGTGTGCCGATTGGCTACCAGCTCATCAATATTCACAATCCCAGCATGCCCTTCACCATGAGCGCGGCGGCCATTACTATTCGCAATCCCATCATGCCCCTCACCATCAACGCTACCGATTGGCCGCCAACTCATCAATATTCCCAATCCCATCATGCCCTTCACCATGAGCATGGCCGCCATTACTATTTCCAATCCCACAATGCCCCTCACCATGAACTCGGCGGCCATTACTATTGACAATCCCATCATGCCCCTCACCATCAACGCTACCGATTGGCCACCAGCTCATCAATATTCACAATCCCATCATGCCCTTCACCATGAGCACGGCGGCCATTACTATTCACAATCCCACAATGCCAATTGGCNATTTTTTCCCCATTTTTTCCTGATTTTTCCACAATTTTTCCCCATTTTTATCTGATTTTTCTTCAATTTTCCCCCCATTTTTCCTGATTTTTTCCCCATTTTTTCCCCATTTTTTCCTGATTTTTTCCCCATTTTTTCCCCATTTTTTCCTGATTTTTTCCCATTTTTTCCTGATTTTTCCCCATTTTTTTCCTGATTTTTTCCTGATTTTTTCCCCCATTTTTTCCCCATTTTTTCCTGATTTTTCCCCATTTTTCCTGATTTTTCCCCATTTTTTCCTGATTTTATTCCCTATTTTTTCATCATTTTTCCCCATTTTTTCCTCATTTTTTCCTGATTTTTCCTCATTTTTTTCCCTATTTTTTTTCAATCAACCCCGATAATTAACAATTAACAAGAATTAACGATCCCCCTCACCCCTATAAGGATCCTGGCTGGGGTTGATTTCCGGTGACGTCGCCGACGGAACCGGAAGTGTCGGGACGGGGGCGGAGCCTGCGACGAGGGCGTGGCCTGGGCGGATCCCAACGGCGTCATCGCGGTGCGAACCAACCTGGAGGGAAAACGGGGGGGGAAATGTTGAGGAAAAATTGGGAAATGCTAAAATTTGGGATGTGGGAAATGGGGGGATTGTAAAATGGGAGATTCCAAAAATTTGGGGTGTCATAAATGGGGGAATCCCAAAAATGGGAAATTCCAAAAATGGGGGAATCCAAAAATGGGAAATTCCAAAATGGGGGAATCCTAAATGGGGGGATCCTAAAAATGGGAAATCCCAAAATGGGGGGAATCCTAAATGGGGGGATCCTAAAAATGGGAAATTCCAAAATGGGGGGAATCCTAAATGGGGGGATCCTAAAAATGGGAGAATCCCAAAAATGGGAAATTCCAAAATGGGGGAATCCAAAAAATGGGGGATTCCAAAAATGGGAAATCCCAAAAATTTGGGACGTCAAAAATGGGGGAATCCCAAAAATGGGAAATCCCAAAAATCTGGGATATCAAAAATGGGGGAATCCCAAAATGGGAAATTCCAAAAATGGGGGAATCCTAAATGGGGGGATCCCAAAAATGGGAAATTCCAAAATGGGGGAATCCAAAAGTGGGGGAATCCCAAAAATGGGAAATTCCAAAATGGGGGAATCCAAAAATGGGGGAATCCCAAAAATGGGAAGTCCCAAAAATGGGAAATCCCAAAATGGGGGAATCCAAAAAATGGGAAATTCCAAAGTGGGGGAATCCCAAAAATCTGGGATTAATATTCACAATCCCACAATGCCCTTCACCATCAGCGTTACCTATTGGCTGCCAGCTCATTAATATTCAGGATTCCCATCAATCCCATCATGCCCCTCACCATGAGCACGGCGGCCATTACTATTCACACTCCCATCATGCCCCTCACCATCAGCGCTACCGATTGGCCACCAGCTCATTAACATTCACAATCCCATCATGCCCTTCACCATGAGCATGGCGGCCATTACTATTCACAATCCCACAATGCCAATTGGCCACCAACTCATTACTATTCACACTCCCATCATGCCCCTCACCATCAACGCTACCGATTGGCCGCCAGCTCATTAATATTCACAATCCCAGCATGCCCTTCACCATGAGCACGGCGGCCATTACTATTCACAGTCCCAGCATGCTCCTCACCATCAGAGCGTGCTGATTGGCCGCCAACTCATTAACATTCACAATCCCATCATGCCCCTCACCATGAGCACGGTGGCCATTACTATTCACAATCCCAGCATGCTCCTCACCATCAACACTACCGATTGGCCCCCAGCTCATTAATATTCACAATCCCAGAATGCCCTTCACCATGAGCACGGCGGCCATTACTATTCCCAATCCCAGCATGCTCCTCACCATCAACGCAACCGATTGGCCACCAGCTCATTAACATTCCCAATCCCATCATGCCCCTCACTATCAGCGCCACTGATTGGCCACCAGCTCATCAATATTCACAATCCCACAATGCCCTTCACCATGAGCACGGCGGCCATTACTATTCGCAATCCCAGCATGCTCTTCACCATCAGAGCGTGCCGATTGGCCGCCAGCTCATTAATATTCACAAACCCCATCAATCCCATCATGCCCCTCACCATGAGCGCGTGCCGATTGGCCAGCAGCCCACCGCCGTACCCCCCAGCCAGGCCGGCCATGGCGCCGTTGTGGGCGGCGGCGGCGGCGGCGGCGGCGGCGGCGGCGCCGATGATGCCGTGCATTTCGCCGGGGGCGGCGGCGGCGGCGGCCATGGCGGGTGCCGAGCCCACGGCGTGGTTCCTCAGGACATGGATGGCGTCATCCAAACGTTCCAGGCGGTCCTCGATGCGGCTTTGCTGCACCGGGGGGGAGGGGGGAGGGTAATTTAAAAAAATTAATTAAAATAATTGGGGGATATTGGCGGGAGTGTGGGGATGGGGGTTTGGGATTGGTTGGATCTTGGGTTTTGGGTTTGGGTTTTGGGGTTGGGTTGAATCAATGGGTTTGGGTTTTGGGTTTTGGGTTTGGTGTTGGGTTTTGGGTTTGGGTTTTGGGGTTGGGTTTTGGGATTGGGTTTTGGGATTGGGTTTTGGGGTTGGGGAAGTTTTTGGGTTGGGTTTTTGGGTTGGGTTTTGGGGTTGGGGTTGGGTTTTTGGGTTGGGTTTTGGGGTTGGGGGAGTTTTTGGGTTGGGTTTTGGGGTTGGGTTTTGGGATTGGGTTTCAGGGTTGGGGGAATCCTTGGGTTGAGTGAATCCTTGGGTTGGGTTTTGGGATTGGGTTTTGGGGTTGGTTGGGTTTTGGGATTGGGTTTTGGGGTTGGGGAAGTTTTTGGGTTGGGTTGTGGGGTTGGTTGGGTTTTGGGGTTGGGTTGAATCCATGGGTTTGGGTTTTGGGGTTGGGTTTTGAGGTTGGGTTTTGGGATTGGGTTGAATCAATGGGATTGGGTTTTGGGATTGGGTTTTGGGGTTGGGTTTTGGGATTGAGGTTGGGGTTTTGGGGTTGGATTTTGGGGTTGGTTTGGGTCTTGGGATTGGATTTGGGGATTGGGGGAATGCTTGGGTTTGGGGTTGGGTTTTTGGGTTGGGTTTTGGGGTTGGTTTGGATTTTGGGGTTGGGTTTTGGGATCGGGGGAATCCTTGGGTTGAGTTTTGGGTTTTGGGGTTGGATTTTGGGGTTGGGTTTTGGGGTTGGGGTTGGGTTTTGGGATTGGGTGAATCCTTGGGTTGGATTTTGGGGTTGGG